AGAAACGCAGCCCAGGGAGCACTCCAAACCCGCCAGTGTGCGGACAGGGAGGAGGCGAGCCAGGGCCTCTCCAGCTGCAAACAGGCACGGAGGAGAATGCTTCGCCAGGTGTCCTCAAGGTACAGAGTTCTTTCTTTAAAATCCACTTTTAGACTGTATTCGGGAGCTGCTTCTATCTATTCCTGCTCACTGCAGAGATGAGACTGGAGCCCACCCACCACCTAAACCTGGCGCAGGCTGCATTGAGACTGCCTGGGATTCTTCTACACCCCCCAAGCAGAAAGGAAAGAAAACTCTGGCAAGACTTCCAGGGATCACACTTTCCTTTTAAGATTAGCTTCTGGCAAGTGGTGGAAAATGCCCTGCAATAATGTGCATCTCAGCACAGACTCGCACGCGGAGGTCACTTCCTTACTCAGTGAAGAAGAGGGCACCAGCCCTGCAGGGCAGCCGTGGGATTCTGCAGACACAAGTTTTAAAACATGATAAAAACAACTCACATCAGGTCAAATGGCTGCCAAAAAAAGCCCACTTTTTATCTAAAATAGATAATTCCTAGCAGAGCCAAACTCTGTCTGTCCTTGGAGATGTTCAATACCCAAGGGTGGGAACAATAGCCCTGGGAGACTGGAGAGCACGCTCTTGGGATCAGAAGCCATCCTACACTAGAGCTGGAATGTGTGAGGCCAGCGTGGACCTGCGGGAGCTCACAGGTGAGGCTGCTCTTGGGCAATGCAGAGACCAAACGTGGGGGCCAGAAATAAAAATCCAAATTAAGACAACAACCAAAAACCACGGGTACCTCTCCAACCAAGCGGCAGCTCCTCCCAAGTGGCAACGCTAAAGCTTTCGAAAGAGAAATAAGACACTGGGCATATCTGGGGGCAAGACAGTTCTGCTTCTGGGGCAGGAGAAAGGCTGGCAGGTCACAGTTACACCTTAGAAGCAACCACCAGACCTGAGCAACTGTCCCAAGTCTTCACACAGTCCAGGGCTTTCTCAAAGAAGATGACAGCCAAGGGGATGGGCTGGACCCTGGACTGTAAACTTAATGCCACACCTCAGGAGAACCTTCACTGCAACTCAGAAAGACATTCCACGTAGGGATGGGAAGTACCTTGCAAGCCTTTTTTCCTAAAAATAAATAAATGCTCATTGTGTGTGTATATATATTTAATCCAAATCCCACTATAAATAATTTCAGAAACAGCAGAAGGCACTTTTGAAGATCTGAATGTAGTTTTCCAATGGGAAGGGCAGGAGCAGGGTACTCAAAGTGGGGGGGGGCCCTCTTCAGGGCTCTGCAACAGCTCCTGCAAGAACTGCCCCTGCCCCCCGTGGTCAGCTCAATGCCCACCCATAGCTTCCATCTCAGCAAAAGCCCTGGAACCACAAGTCTGGAAACCAAGAAGCCTCCTGGGGCTAGCAGCAGCAGTGGGGCCAGAGTCCGGCTCAGGCAAAGCCCCTTCTTGAGTCTGGAAGTGCGCCCCTTATGCCCGAGCCTGAAAGGGGATTCCCTCTGGCACCAAGTTCATAAATGAGGCCGAATTACGGGCTACCTGTACTACACTGAAGCAGGTAGACACATCAGATCTCAGTGCAGCCGATTCGACTTGCAATTCGCCATACTGCAGTGTTCCCGTAACCACAAGCATCACTCGCGTTTCAGGTCACGGCGCAGCTCAGTGGGTATTGGCTCACCTACCTCTCTGGGTGCTGGGCTGGGCCGTGTCCCACCTACTCTACAGGAAGGCATTGATCATACACTCGCACTAGCGGGCACACCAAGGAGAATGCCATTCACTAAGGGCACGTGGATTCCCCACGTAAACCAGACCGTGGACTTAACATGTCTAGTCCTGTCCACTGATGGGCAGGGTGGTTCTGACACCAGCCAACTGGTACCAACTGGGCATCCAGTGACCCAGTTCCACTCTCTCACTAACTGCCTGGAGCTAGCACACACGCCACAGCCTAGGGGCTCAGGCCGACAGGCAGCCCCCACTTCACACACAAGTCCTGGGCCTCCTGGACTTCTGAAGATCGGCTATAAATCAGGGGGTCCCACAAGCCCCTCTCAGGTTCTACAATTTGCTAGAAGGGCTCACAAAACTCAGAAAAAACACTTTACAATGTTGACCGATTTATCGTAAAGGATGCAAGTAAACAGCAACATGCAGGCGGGGCCGGCAGGGTCCTGAGTGCCTGGCCCCCTGTCTCAGCACCACTGGGGTCAGCAGTGCGGCTGGACATTCTGCCCTGCTCACCTCTCGGTCCTGGTCATTACCCCATCCCAAGGCTACCCAGGGGTCCTGCCCTAAGCCACCTCCTTAGCATGATCTCAGAAGCCCATGAGCAGCACCTCCTTAGGAATAACGAGAGGCTCTCTCGACACTCAGGAAGTTCCCTGCCAGGAACGAGGACAAACACCACACAGGGATGCTGCTTGTTCTCGCTGTGTGCCACTGGGCCTGGCTGGCACTGTAACAGCCTGTAAATTCAAACCCCCACACTGCCATGTTCGCGTCTTTGCAGAATGACATGGAAATGCTTGAAGGGAAACCGTTCTGATGCGGCACTGGGTTAACGGGAAGCAACTGTTCTCAGGGAAGGGGCAGCCGTGTGGAACTACTGAAAACAGCAGGAGTGTCTCAAGCACACGGGGGCCTTGGAGGCGGCGGCACAGACGTGGGTCTCAGTGCGGATGCTCACCCCACATGTGGAGGTCCCATGAGCCCCAGGCAGCTGCAAGCAGGGCCACAGCCTCTTTAAGACAAGATCCCGGACTGGGCCATCCCTGGTCGTCCACCTGGGGAGTATGACCAATGCCGCATCCCTCATTACAAAAGGGGGGCGTGCAGGGCAGTAGCCACAATTGAAGAGCCAAACACTGAAGGTGCTGTGACAGAGGTGGCTGGTGGAACAAGATCCCGGGAGCAGGCCTGGGAGCCAGCTTTGGAACGGACCTCAACAAAGCACACCTGTCACCAGGGTGAAAGGCACAAGCTGCAGGACACAGCCGCTGGAACGCGTGACGGCATCCGTTAATGTGCACAGAACAGATTCTCAGCACCGTGCTTTTTCAGACACCCGATTCCAGAGTGAGTTAAAATGAAATTAGTGATGAGAGGGAATTTCCGCACTGATCTGCCGCAGGCTGAGGAGAAAGCAGTGCTAAGAACCTAACGTTTATAGGCAGGAAAATAATTAAGATGGGAATCAAAGTACCACTTCCTCATCACACACCTGCTGCAAGCGCGTTACCCCTTATCTGCTTCCGCTTGAGAGTCTATTTTTGGAAACCCCGCTGGACAGGATGAGGATACTGAGTGTCCTCAAACAGCATTTAAGCAGGCGCACGCTCAGAGGGGAGCCGGGAGCGTGGGCACCTCCACATCCTCCACAGCACGTGGCGCGCCCCGATGCGCTCAATGCGCTGACGGCCAGCTGCGGTGTCCGCGTCACGCTTGTGAGGAGTCCCTTTCCAGCCGGCAGGACCGAGCACTGGGTGAGACTCGGAGTCTGCCCACGGGAGGAGCAGGGACAGGACAGACAGTGCTTCTGCTTTTCAGAATCCACCTCACGTGAGACAGGTAGGTGTGTCTGACCAGAAACCTGGCCTTCCGGAGCCAAAGGACCTTACTTTCACCCGGATGGCCCAGGCCCCTCACTTCACACTTGGGGAAATGGCCCTAAAGGGCTGTGCAGTGTGCCAGGATCATGGAGTGAGCGCCAGCCGGAACCCAGGTTGGTCCCAACTAAACCAGCGCCTGGTGCGACGCTGGACCTTGAGCAAACAGGAACCCACTAAGACCAGTGCCCTTCACCGGGGGTTCCACACCACAGCGCTGCCACACAAGCAGGGCAGTATCTTGGGCCAGTGAAGGCAGCACACGGAAGCCCCACAACAGGCTCCTGAACTGGAGGCGGAAGGGAGCGGGCAGAGCGGAGGTTTCCGTCCTCGGGAAGCAGCGTCCTGCCCGGGGCCACCCTGTCCTGCCCGGGGCCACCCCGTCCTGCCCGGGGCAGGGTGAAAGGTGCCTCTGGGAGGTTTTGTTTACCTTTTCCGGATGACCAAACACTGATCATCTTTTTACACGTTTATGCGCTTTTTTTTTTTTTTTTGCCATTTTGGACTCATGTGTTTTTGAACCTTTTCTCCCCCCAGTTGGGTTGTCTTTTTCTTACCGAGTCAGAGGAATTCTTTAAAAATTCTGAACATTAACCCTCTGTCAGTTAAATGCTGCAGATATCCTCTCAAAGGTCCTACTTCTCCATCTTTTAAAGCTCACGCTTTTATATTGGGTTCAAGAACTTCTTCTCTTCCTGGAGGCTCACAGATATTTTAACATATTTTTACCCTGAAACTTTGCTCCCTTTTATACGTAAGTCCCTCGTCTACTGGCACTGATGTTTGTAATCACTATGAGGCAGGGCTTTGGGGCAGGTTTTCCTGTGGGGACCCCTCAGTGTTACTAACCGATCTTCTCTTTCACCACGGATCAGCAACGTTAGTTCCCTCATAAGCCAAATCTCAGTCCCACTGGCCAACTGGTTTCTGGTTTTGCCAATAGTCACACTGTGTTAACCACCAAAACTACAATAATTCTTAATATTGGCAAGGCAAAAAGAAACCTGCCTTTTGCTTCAGATCATCTGGGGCAAAATTGACCCTTTAATCTGCCACATAAATTTCAAGATTAACTTGTCAAAGTCCACCAAAAAGGAGGGAGGGAGGGAGGGAGGGAGGGAGGGAGGAAGAGGAAGGAAGGAAGGGAGGGAGGAAGGGAGGAGAAGGGACAGGGAGGGAGGAAGGAAAGGAAGGAAGGAAGGGGAAGGAAGGAAGGAGGAAGGAAGGGGAAGGAAGGAGGAAAGAAGGAAAGGAAGGAAGGGGAAGTAGAAGGGATGGAGGGAGGGAGGAAGGAAGGAAGGGGAAGGAGAAGGGACGGAGGGAGGGAGGAAGGAAGGAAGGGAGGGAGGGAGGGAGGGAAGGGGGGAGGGAGGGAGGGAGGGAGGGAGGGAAAAAACTGGCTGGGACAGCACTGCATCTATCTTTTGGGGAGAAGATAATATTTACAGTATTGCATCTTTCAGTCCATGAAAATTGGGCTATCACCTCATTTCATTTCTCACAGAAATGGTTCAGAATTTTCAGTGTAGAGGTCTTGAATATCTTTAGATTTATTATTAGGTATTTGATATTTCCATTTCAATTTCTGCTTGCTTGCATAATTTTTACACATTGGTCCTGCAGCGTAGAATATTCATTCCAATCATATTTCTGTAGTTATTATGTATTTTCTACATGCAGAATCATGTCGCTTATAAATAATGGCAGTTTTGTTTCCGCCTTTCAGACCTCATGCCTTTTCTTCTTCTGTGGTCTGCTGGCTCAGTCCTATAGTGCAGTACTGAGAGAAACTGGTCTCATTTCTGATCTTACAAAGAATGTTTCCTATGTTTTATTAGAAAGTCTATTGCTGCTGCAGGTGTCCAACAGGTAACTATCAGATTAAGGAAGCTCCAGTCTACTCCCAGTGTGCCAAGACATATTTTTAAATCATATATGTTTGCTCATCTGTATGAAACTTTTCTGCATCAATTCAAGTTATTAAATAATTTCCCCTTCCATCAGATAACATGGTAATACTCCTTTTCCCACGTCAAGCTAACTTTGCATTCCTGTGATGAACCAGCGTGGTCAGGCCCAGGGAGGAAAGCAGCAACAGCTTGGCACACCTGGGAACACTCTTTCCCACACTTGACTCTGAAGACAGAGACCTCAGGCCCACACGTCACCCTCAGCACCACACTTCAGTATTTTGTTATGAGCACAAAAGGAGAACTGGATGGATTCACATTCTGAAGTGTGTTTGGTGGGGGACTGCTGACATAGACGAACACACCGCAACGGCTCTGACCCAAGAGTCGTGTGCACACCTCCCTGTGCTGACCGAGCTGCTTTTCAGACACGGGGATGGAAGCTCAGGGCTACTGGGAAACAGTAATGGCTCGGTCTCATTGCAGCCACTCTCCCTGTCCTTTCCTACTTTTCAAACAAAGGTTTTGTTTTAGAACAGCCATGAGTTTATAGGAAAATCAAAGATAGTGGAGAGATGCCATAAGCTCTGCACCCTCCACCGCCATCATTCACATCTTACATTAGCATGCTGTGCTCAGGGATCGTGAGGGAAAAAGCCTGCCCTTGATTCACATCTCCTCCGCTTTTCCCGGTATCCATTTTCTGTCCTGGCACCCATCCAGGATCCTGCCTCTCTTGGCTGTGACAGTGTCTCAGACCTTTCTTGTTTTCGATGACCTTGACAGCTTCGAACAATCCCGCTTAGATATTTTACAGAATGTGTCTCCACGGGGGTTTGTCCCAGGGCCTCACTGGGACTCCAGGGACAGAGCCATGTGAACACCCTGGCAAGGGCTGACGTCAGACCAGAGGAGCCCAGATACCGTCAGACCTAACTTCATGGGCAACAGCAGAATTCCCAAGGTTTAAAGGAAGAGCTTAGCCTTACAGCAAAGACAAAGGAAACCACTTGGTTCTCTTCGCTGGGGCAAAATAACTTGTCTTTTGCCTGAATAAAGAGGGAAGGAAAATGCCTTCTGCTGGGAAGACTGGCCGTGAGGAAAACAGACTCTTGGGCTGCAGCAAACTGGCAGGTATATGTGACCAAGTCCTGCTCCTGGCTCATGTGCCCCACCAAGACCTGCATCTCCGGGAGGGCGTGGCGCGGTGCACACCACAAACCTTCCCTTCGCACACGTGTCATCGGTGTGGAGTGCAGTGGGTACCTATTTGGGTTTGGGCCCTTGTGCCGTCCCCTCGGGCCTCTAACCCGTGTGCTCCGCGGCAGTATGGTCCTGGCGCTTTGATGACCTTCCTTGATTAAATTATAAAAGGGAGCTCAGTGGACTGAAATGTCATGGCTTGGAGATAAAATGTTCTATAAGGTCAGCCAAATACTCAGACTCCGCCTAGGTCCTTCCCCTGACGGGAGCCACCAGAGGGGTCTCCATGTGCCGCCCCAAGCAGGACCTGCTCTGGCCTCCGCCCGGCTCAGCCTCCTGCTTTCTGTGTGACCTCAGCAGCCCCCGGCCCTACCTCCCTCCACTGTGCAGCCCACACCCTGGCCCCACACCTGGGCCTCCGTGGGGGCTTCTGCTGAGAGCCTTGAGCATCCCAGGCCACTAGATTCTGCTTTCCCCACTGTGCAGGTTACTGAAAATTACTGAAGTTCCATAACAGTTCTTGCCTCTGCCCATTAATAGAAATTAAACTTTAATGAGTAAGTGCTGTGAGCTCCTCAGGCATGCCAACATAGTTTATGTGTATTTATTAGAGAAAATGAAAATGGAAAAAGATTCTTTCCCGAAGCAGTATTTTCCTCCAGGGTAATCACGCAGTCTTTTAAAATGTCAAGGATAACCTAAGAAGTAAGCCTACTGTCTCTCCACCACGAATCACAACTGGCCGCAGCTGCGGGCTCACGAAGTGTGGGTCTGTGGAGATGCTGAAGGACACTGGGCTGGCTATAAGCAGTCAGGTCTCCAAACAGCAAATCCAAGGACAAAGGACGCACTGAGGTGGAGAGGGGGCAGGGGATTCCAGATATGCCCGCCAGTCCTGATGTTTTGGTCTGGATTTGAACAACTGGCTGTAAAAAGACAGTTTTTAAGACAACTAGTAAACATTAAACATCACTTGGGCATAAGGTGAGGTGTAGGGACCATGATTTGTTCTGCTGAGTGCTACAACAGGGTTAGATCTGGCAGAAATACACATTCGAGTATTTAAGGATGGTGCTGGGGCCTTTGAGATGGGTTTTAAATTCTCCAGAAAACAAAGCTGTGGGGAGACAAAGTGGTCACGATGGAGAGCCCCAGGGATGTCCTGAGGGGCGGTGGCTGTGGGCCCTAGCTCTACGCACTCGTCTTCCTTTCATATGTGTTCGAAACTTTCCGTAACAATTTTTCTAGAGATGCCAAGAATAAAGACAAGGCTGCCCCCACCGTCTACTCAACAGTTTGTCCTCTCTGAGCATCTGCTAGGTGATCTACCTGGCTTGTTCTCTCCCAAATATCCCGCCAGTCTTCAGTGTGTCCCCAACCCCTATGTGTTCAAGCAGCCATACACATCTGGTTCGTAGCTCAGCGAGCAGGCCCTGAGCATCTGGGAACATAAGAGTGAGCGACACAGTGGCCTGGCTCCAGCCAAGCAGAACCAGGGACCCACCCCGGCTGTCTGCATCCGGTCCTGCCATGGGGTCTGCCTGGTGCCAGCAGCTGCCAGACATGGGCCAGAGGAGACCACAGGGGGACAGGAGACTATGAGGAGGGGACAGAGGAGACCGCAGGGGGACACCTGGCTCTCTCATGTGCCCAGCCTGGCTCGCTAACACCTGCAGCTTAGTTGGATGACGGGACAAAAGGTCAAACTGAGCCAGCCGGACACGCAGATTCAGAGGCAGACAGAGCCCGGTAGAGAGGCGAACACGGGCAGGAGTGAGCCAGGGAGGAAAGGGAACAGCAGGTTACTACTCGGGGATTTCCCAGGGAACATGTGGCAATGGAAAAACGCTGCCTCACCCTCCCGTTTGAGAAACAATCCAGGCACCCTGGAGGTGTGGCAGAGGGAGAAGCACAGGGGCGCCGTGAGCCACCGGGTGCAAGGAGCAGTGTCGGGAATTGGAAAGGGGGCTACCCAGGGCCATCCTATCCCCACGGTCCTGGCACCCAGCACAGAGCCAGGTGTGTGGGTGGGGGCTGGCCAGGCACTGGCTGAGTGGGTGACGGCCACGAGGCTAGGAGGAGTGACAGCAAGCCAATGTCTCTGTTCGACAGCCAGAGAACAGTGTTTGCTGGAGGGACTCTCAGGGCCTCTCCTCAAAAGTTCTGCAGGGCCTGGCATGGCCATGCTGCCTCCTCCCTAAGTAAGACCACACAGAGCCAGCTCTCAGCTGTGGCCCAGGCCAGGTCAAGCGTTCATAAGTGATTTAGCAAATCAGGAGAAAATGCGTTGTCTGCCTTTGAAAACAGCATTGAGAAGACTGTCCTGCTCTGGACGGTCTGCTCCTGGGAGGACGTCCACTGCCCAGTGGAGAGGGCACGTGGGGGTGAGTCACTGCACAGCCGCTCTGTACAGCACAGAGAGCGCGAAGGATCACCTGGTGTGCCCTGTGCACGTTCCCCAGAGCCGCCTGGCAGCTGCTGGGTGATCCAGAGCAGTGGGAGGAGCCACACACGGCAGCCGTTTACCAGGAACACTGCAAAACACACACATGGCATCTCCACGGCTAATGGAAAGCCGTTTTCTGGGTAGGTTCCCTTCAATTAGGTTAATGAGGAAAGGTGACGCGTTGTCAGCCATGGCTGGAGACACACGGGCTGTGCGGTCCGCCCGTGGATAACCACGTTCCCTCGCTGCCCGGCCGCCCGCACGCTGGGCAAACTGAAAGGCCTGTGTTTTCATGCTGTGCCCACCGCTTCTGTCTCCCCTTGGGCATCCTACTTGCTAAACAAACACCTCTTCAGTCCCAAGAAGTCTAACAAATATTCGGCAATTCCTACCTGGCTTACCCTCCCCGTGTGGGAGGCGGCCCTGCAGGGTTTGGGGTGAACATCTCCCCATCAAGTGGAAATGAGGCTGACGTGAGGAGTGAAACAAACACAGATAAAGAATGAGGTGCACAGTACATGGGGGGCAGGAGACGCCCTTCTCCCTCCGCGTCACCTTCGCTTCAGTGCCGCACACGGGGCCCTCGCCCTCCCTGCCAGGGCAGCTGATCTGCACGAGCTGCTCACGAAATGTGAGTCAGCAACGAACACCGTTTTGTCAGCGGAAGCACTCTCCCAAAACAGCTTCCACACCTCCGAACCTCACACGCTCGCCGAGGTGCTGTGGTCAGGCGGCAGGAACTGGAAAATAGGTGCACATGAACAAGCAGCTCAGAAAAAGTGAGTCACTCGTTCATACCAATAAACCCCAACTGGCCGTTCGCAGAAAGTCTAGGCAGGCACACTGGCCGGGAGCATCAAAGCAGAGATCCATCCCCGGGGCAAAGCGGAGAATGGAGGGCGGGACCACACCCTTTCCTTCTCTCCACAGACCAGACTTCCAAGCACCGCTCATTTTCTGTGCGGAAAAAGGATCCTGTGATGCCAACTTTAAGGCGGCATTTCGGAAGTGACCAATCTGTGGTCAATGGCCAGAGAGATAGGGAGCGAGTGAGGCTGGGGGGTCCCCCAGCACCTGCAACCCTCGGTGATGGTCTGCCGAGTCAGGCTGACCCCGCCAGCAGCTGCCCAGCGAGCAGCTGTGCTGGTGGCCTCACCCAGCAGAAGTCTGCTCCAAGGGTGCTTGAGCCAACAGACCCTGGGGTTGAAAGCCTTACTCTTCCAGCACTTCCTAGGATGGCACTTGCCTCAATTCACTGAAAATGTGTTTCATTTTCTAAACTATTATTCTTGCCGTCTCTTGCTAGAACTAACCTTAACATCGTGCTTACATTCTAAATGAGAAACAAGAGCAGCTAACTCCTAGCGGGTGCTTATGATGCTCAGGCACTTAGCTCTGGGTCTCATTCACAGAAGTGGTCCTCACGGTACTCACCAGGGAAACAGCCACCATAGATACTACCACTGTTCCCGTTTTAAAGAAGCCGGGAGATGATAAAGGCAACCTTGATCAAGGTTGGGACCAGCAGTCAAAGCTTCCCCCACTCTGTTGTTCTGCCTCTCCACACGGACTGATTCAAGCTTCAAGGTCACATCACATCGCTGGCTCATTCGTTCAAGTTTTGCTGAACAAGCTGTTAAGCAACTGTCGCAATTTTGGGGATACGGGCTTCTAAGTCCCTGCACACCAAACTTCCTCTCGTGAAGAGGGGATGCCACATTAGTAACAGCAGACTGTGTTGGGTCATGTGCGGGAACAACCACCATGCAGGTGGGACAGGCCGGAGCTGCTCCTTTAGACAAAGTGACCTGACGGGGCCCCAAGAGGAGGCGGCGTTTCGAGCAGACACCTGAGAGATGTGTGGGGTCAACCCTCCCAAGGAGGTGCACAGGAGGCGGCATCAACAGCAAGGGCAAGGCCTGGGAAGGGGACGAGCCTGCTGGGTTTCCATGGGGCAGGAAGAAGAGATGAGGACTCAGTTACGAAGGCCACAGAGAGGACCTTCCATTCCGACTTCAGCCACCGTGCAGAGCGTTGTCCAGGGCAGGGAAGGGGCTGCAGAAGGTGGGGGAGGTCGAGGGAGAGCTGAGCAGATTCCTGGGTCCCGGGAGGTGAGGGGAGTGGTCCAATTGTGAGAGATGAGGAAAGGGATCACCAGGATTCTGATGACTTGGTGTAGGTGTGTCACACTCACGGAGGAGGGGACAGATCAGGAAAGGGATCACCAGGACTCTGATGACTTGGTGTAGGTGTGTCACACTCATGGAGGAGGGGACAGATCAGGAAAGGGATCACCAGGACTCTCATGACTCGGTGTGGGTGTCATACTCACCGAGGAGGGAAAGACAGAGAGGCTTGCATGGGGAGAAGCACGCTGGAAACCCAGAATGCACATTTGACGGAACCTGCTGATTTTTTAAGGGAGCCACTCACCATTCTGGAGAGCAAAGACTGCATCTAAACCTCCTTTGAATCATTGCTTTGTGACTTTCTCAGGAAAAAAAATCCAAAATATTCAGACTTTGTGTCAATGCTTCAAATTCAAGTTCTCCACTTCCTCCATCAGCATCTACTTCGGCAGCGTCCTTTCCTGTTGCTCAGAATCTCTGCAGCCAAGTCCTGTCCCAGCTTGGGTGGGGCTCTAGTCTTGTAAATTATTATTCATTCCTTTAGCTGAGCTACTAAAAAAAAATAATAAGGAGCTTAATATTAAGCGACACACACTGCACTCAAAACTGTGAGTCAGGAAAGAAGGTGCACAAAATATGCGTAAGCAGTGAGGACGTGTCCCACGTGTCAGCTGCCTGCCGCACACCGGTTCTGCCACTTCTCACCCCACGACAGCTGCGCTCCTTCCTACTGAGACGCGTCCTCCACAGGAAAGCTGGCTTCAGGGCCTCCCGCCTCTGGAAGGAGCCGGTGCACCGCTGCCCATGGAGCATCTTCCGTGATGGCCCCCGAAGCCTGTCCCGTCAGAAGAGCAGGGAACATGCGGGGATTACCCTGCTCTGTGTCTCCTATGATGATGCACAGACGTTCCCTGGTTAAACAAGGCACCTGCTTTCAGTCCGTGTCTCTGACAAGACAGGTGTGTTCCGGACATCACGTTAGGTCCTGAAAACCCAGCTGATAAGTCACAGAGTTGGCCCTCAGGGCTCCGAGAGAAGACGTCCAGGTGATAACGTCATTGTGTCTTCAGTACCCAGGTCTCCAACCCTGCAGGTGGCCCCCCAGAGACCCTAGGCCACTTCTCCAGAACAGGGAAGAACAAAAAATTGCAGGTTGTGAAAATATGACATGAGTCTCAGAGGGTCCAGAGCCCCACACGGCCAAGTGCCAGGCAGTCAGCTCCCCATGCCCTCCTGCCACCGGGGCTGCCACTGGCTCGAGCCTCCAGCAGCTCATCTTGGGGCAGACACAGTGGGTACAAAATCCAGAACTAGTCCACACAGCAGGCCACGCGCCTGGAAGCATCCAGAAGCTGCCACGGGATCAGCGTGCACTGGCAGAGGTGACACAGACCTCAGGCCTCCTTTAGAGGAACAAGGTGCCTCAGCCTCTCCAAGGAGAAGAGGCCAGAAGAGGCACTTCCTACCTGGGACCTGGTCAGAAAGGACAATTGTCAGTGGCCTGACTACAGACTGCCGTGTTCCAGCAGAAGACCACTGCCAGGGGCCACAGCCAAGCAGGAGGACAGCAGACTGGCTCACGGGCCTCCCCAGCAGAAGAGCTGCCAGAGATGGGACTCAGGGGGTGGGTTTCCCTCACCCTCAGTGGGATCCTCCTGCTACAGACACAGGGCACCTGCCCACGTGTGTTCACACACACCTGCCACACCTGGTTCAGCTCGAGACCTGTATCAACATACAGGTGCTGCCAGCACGTCTGGAAAGAGACTCGTCCGCCAGCACCCTTCGAGGATGACATGGAGTGGAGATGGGCCTTTCAACATGAGTGGCTTCCATGTCCTCAACTTTAAAAGATTTCAAGAAGTTTTACTCGCCTTAATTTTGGTGCTACCTAATAATACACAGCACATCGTTTTATTTTCATATCTATTTCCTAAATGTTTTAAAACAAAATTCCATTTCTAAACAGTGAAGGTCAGGGGAGACACACAAACTGCTGCTGATGGTGTAAGTGACGTGGGCAAAGATCTCCATTCGCAGCCAGGCACGGTGGCCCACACCTGTAACCCCAGCACTTTAGGAGGAATGAGGCGGGAATATGGCTTGACATCAGGAATTTGAGACCAGCCTAGGTAACATAATGAGACACTGTCCCTACCAACAATACGAAAGTCAGCTGGGCGTGGTGGCCTGCACCTGCTGTCCCAGCTATTCAGGCGGCTGAGGCAGGAGATCCCGTGAGCAAGATGGCACCACTGCACCACAGCCTGGGTGACAGAGCAAGACCTGCCTCCAAAAATCAAAAATCAAGACAAAAATAAAAAGCTTTCCATTCACTCTGCAGGCACTGACCCGAGCTGTAACCACGCAGCACCTGCAGTCCTAGCTCTTGCTCGAGACGCTCCAGTCTCCGCGTTTTGGAACACACTGCACGAGGCTCGTTACTCACTGTTATAAACGTACCCTATATAAACCACATCATGACTACCTCACTCAGTAGTCCTCCAGGACACCCCTCCCGCCAACAAAACCGGCTTCTCTGGATCCTCTGAGAAGCAGGTGCACCATCTGCAGAAATCACCATTCCGCTTCCGTTATACGCAGTACGAAAAAACTCCGCACAGCACGACCTCCCGGAAACCAGGACGAACCCAAATTATCATTATTCCTTTTAATACAACAGAAACTTCAGCTCCTAAATACACAGCGATTCCTTTGTGTTGTGTTCTATTTTCATCTAAACATAGAGCCACCACCAGGAGAAGCAATTTGCTGCTGGAGGTTCACTATGCTAATGTCACTGACAGGATGTGAATTTCTGTCCCCTCCAGACTTTCCAGCTTGTGGTTTCCACATGACAACTGCTGTGGTGGCTCCGGGACTCTGGCCGGGAGTGTGGGAGTGGGACTGCCCAGCATCAAAGCTGGGATACACTCCCAGGAGCCTGTGATGCCACATGAGCCACCTGACCAGTGTGGGCCTCACTGTCCACAGCCAACAAGAGGCATTTCCTCCCTGGGACCTGGACAGAAAGGATGATTTTCAGTGGCCTGTGGACTGTCGGGTTCCAGCAGAAGCCTGCTGCCAGGGGCCACAGCAAAAAGAGAGGACAGTAGACTGGCTCACTCACACCCACCACACCTGGTTTACCTCGAGACCTGCATCAACTTACATGTGCAGCCAGCGCATCTGGAAAGAGACTCGTCAGGGGCACCTAAGCCCTGTGGGACCCATCAGCGCCCTTCGAGGTGGATGCTCTCCACCTGACAGGACTGAGAGGACTGGACTGGCCACCCACAAATGCACTCACAAGCCACAGCACCACAGATGCCACCCGCACCGCCACAGACATAGCCCACGCTGCCACAGACACAGCACATGCCGCCACAGACACAGCACACGCCGCCACGGACACAGCGCACACTGTGGGGGCAAGTCCTCTGACTTCCCCTCCATCAGCATGTCGCCTGAAAGCATTTCTTAGATTTTAGCAGAAAGTTAAAGAGAAAAATGAAAACACACAAGGGGAAAAGAACAATGAAAAGGAAGCTGTTTCCTCCAAGAGCTGTCATGTCCCACAGAAGTTCCTTCTCGAGGATGGGAAAGTGGGAAGATGGTTCCGTGCCCGCCACCTCCTCCCCTTGCTTCCCTGACAAAGGACAAACACTGCACCAAACCAGAGGGCAGCCGACTTTCCAGACAGCCAGTAGGTTAAAAGGTTTCCATAAACAATTTTCCAGGTTTTACATGCTTATACTTCTAAGAACACAGCTATCCAAAATTTTAAATTATAATCCCTTAATTCTGTTTAATAAATTTATTTTTGAATTTAAAAAAGTAGAAATAGGATCATTTCTCTCCCCAATCCCTGACATGTGTGCACACCCGCTTCAGGCCCAGACTATTCTCCACCAGGAACGCGCCGCCCGTGCCTCACCGGCCATGGTTTTTGCAACACAGAGCCCCTTGGCCGTGGTGGCCCGCGTGCTTCCGAGCAAGCTTCCTGTGTACCTGGCGGTGTGCCCAGCAGAGCAGAGGCGCTACACACACCTCCCTCCCACTTTGTACACGGCATTCAATTCATGACAGATTTTCATCTTCGCCTAAGACAGCGGAGTCCTGGGAACAAACTCACTTCCTATCACTCCATGTGCAGCTCAGACGATAAATCTTGTCCTGCTATGTTAGTCTGGTGAAAGTCAGCCGAATTACAGGGCAAAGAAAACATAGAAATGACACCAAAACACAAGGAAATGCAGCTTTCTTCATCGGAAACAAATTTCCTGGGATCTATATCCATACAGTCCCACCCGTGGGCATGAAGCTGTGTTTCATTAAAGTGAACACTGCTCTGTGCCCTGCTGAATATTCAGACAAGCAGAAAGAAGGGCAAGGCTTGAACTCAACTACAAGAAAAGAGCAACTGGAACACGACCGCGGCCGTATCTGTACTCCTTGCCGTGATGCTCTCAATTAACACCCGCCTGTAGTGAAAGCCACTTTTACTCCGAAAACGCAGAGCCAACTCAGGTCCACAGCGCAGAGCTTCAGGACACACCACGCCCAGCAGAACTCTAGCTCCCAAACCTCATTGCACTGCATGGATGGGAGCCCTCGCTTCCCACCGTAAGCATGGATAAAGGTCATTATTAAGATAGAATGAAGCCTCACCCTAATATCACAGACAGAGTCGAGCTCAAGAGAAGACCTCCATTAACAGAAAGTGCACACAAAAGGCAGCCTGAGCAGGTGCACTAAGACCCCGCCGCCTGTTCCTGGGGCCCAAAAGCCATCAGAACCGGAGATAGGCCCCAGGGACTGGGTGGGCAGGAGATGTGGCCGTGAGCCTGCCTTGGACAGAGAAGTGGGAACTGAGACCCCTGTGTCAGGGCAGAACTCCTGGAGGGCGGTCTGGTCTATGAAAAGAGCTAGAAAATTGTACCCTCCAGGCCAGAAAAGCAGTAGAGGGTTTCGGGAAAGAGGCTTCAGGGAGAATCCAGGACCATAAACCTGGGGCCCTGTGGGCGTGGCCTGCGGCCTGCAGATTAATATGATTTGAGTAGTTCTGGAATCTCAAGCCTAGAAATTAAGGTAAAACTAGTCTAGAACCTGGGAAACCCTGTAGCCCCAAGAAGGCAAAGAAAAATAGTTCCTTAGGGCTACACCCACAATCCACAGCACACAAAACACACAAGGAAGGATGAGAGGGAGGGAGAGAGGGAAGTCCCCTGCTGAAGACCTTACCATGCATATTTCACATCACAAATGATAGATGAAAACAACCCACCATGTGGGAATCAGCAAGAACAAAACAGAGAAATGACTCCAAAATGCCCACAAATACTAAAACAATGTGGAGGCCAACCGCACTGAAAACCATCCCTTACATGAAGAAAAGAAACTGTAACGGAGGAAAAGAACCCCGGAAAACGGGAGGTGAGAAGCTTTCAAAAGAGTAAAATGCACTTTCTATAACCGAGAAGAACAGATTAGAGCTAAAGATAAGAGCAGCAAATTAGACATAGTTCAAGATAAAACCAGATCTGGATAACTAAACAGAGAGGAAAGGCGAGAGGCAGGATCGAAGAGTAGAACGGTCCGGCACAGACCTGGTATGAATTCCTGAAGAGTGGAGCAAAGGTACAAATGCAGCATTGAAACAGGTGACAATGAGAACACGCCAGGACTGAAGAGTCCCCCCATCTAAGAGCACGCTAAGTCTCAGGATGAGTAAGTCCAAATCGACATCCGGACACAGTGCAGTAAGACACTTAAACTCAAACAAGGAACAAGATGTTAAAGTCACCAAGGAAGAAAAGTTAGATGATCTAAGGACACTGGATTGAGAGCCAGTGTTTCAACAGCAACCAGCAGCCAAAGGTAATGAAATGTCTTTGAACCGCTGAAAGACACAGCAACCTGCATTTCTGCACCCATCTAGGACACGGGAAAACAAAGACACTTTCAGATAAACAAACTTGAGTATTTACCACTCAGAAACTATTGCTGAAATAACAAGGGATTCCTTCAGAAGGAAGAAAATCATATCCAAGTGAAAGAGTAGGATGACAGAAGCAACAGTGAGGTAAAACACTAGTAAATCACGTAAACACATATTAATGAAACATTTCATACAGATACGGAGACTGTGTGATCCTGTTTTCTCACTGCGTGTGTGTGTGTGTGTGTCTGTGTGTGGTGTGTGTGTGTGGTGTGTGTCTGTGTGTGGTGTGTGTGTCTGTGTGTGGTGTGTGTGTGGTGTGTGTCTGTGTGTGGTGTGTGTGTGTCTGTGTGTGGTGTGGGTGTGGTGTGTGTATGGGTGTGTGTGTGGTGTGTGTGTGTGGTGTGTGTGTCTGGTGTGTGTGTGGTGTCTGTGTGGTGTGTGTGTCTGTGTGTGGTGTCTGTGTGTGGTGTCTGTGTGTGGTGTGGGTGTGGTGTATGGGTGTGTCTGTGGTGTGTGTGGGGTGTGTGTCTGTGGTGTGTGTGTGTGGTTGTGGTGTGTGTCTGTGTGGTGTGTGTCTGTGTGGTGTGTGTCTGTGTGGTGTGTGTGGGTGTGGTGTGTGGGTGTGATGTGTGCATGTCTGTGTGGTGTGTGCATGTCTGTGTGGTGTGTGTGTCTGTGTGTGGTGTGTGTCTGTGGTGTGTGTGGGTGTGTGTATGGTGTGTGTGGTGTGGTGTGTGTATGGTGTGTGTGGTGTGTGTGTGGTGTGTCTGTGTGGTGTGGGTGTAGTGTGTCTGTGGTGTGTGTGTCTGTGTGGTATGTGTGGTGTGGGTGTGGTGTGTGTGTGTCTGTGTGGTGTGTGTGTCTGTGTGTGGTGTGTGGGTGTGGTGTGTGTGTGGGTGTGGTGTGTGTGTGGTTGTGGTGTGTGTGTGTCTGTTGTGTGAGTCTGTGTGGTGTGTCTGTGTGTCTGTGTGTGGTGTGTGTGTCAAAGTCACTGTTTAAAACACTTGGTTGGTTTCCTCTTAAGAACAACATAAACCTTAACAATAAAGGGCTTCCCTTCTTCCTCTGACAGCTAGGAAACTCAGAGCAGAGTTTACGTAGCTATTCAGGGTTTATGACACGCATTCTGGGCTCTACTTCTCTTTGAGAGACCATCATTTTTCCGTCGCTCTGATTCCTTTATCTTTATTCTTACACAGCCTTCATTAATGAAATAAGAATTAAGTACAGCTGTCCCTGAAATCGTTTGCACAGGTACCAAAGCACTCGACACACCAATACACCACGGTCTTGGCTTCTTCTCATTATCAGGAGGAAGAGGGGTGGAATATGGTGTAGTTTGAGTAACTCTGCAAAACTCTGCTGAAACAGAGTTCAGTACCACTAAAAGCAGGGTATGAGCTCAGCAATCCTACTTGGAAACACAAAAAGCGACCAGAGTATGACTGAGAGCAATCATTGCCATGCACATGGCTATTCTTCACGGGCTCCACTTGACATCACATTTGCGTATGGGAGAGCCCCCTTTGAAAACAGCTACACACTCCGGCAAAAGCAACTCTTTGTGAGAAATCATCAGGAAAAGATTGCTTATCCTTTCCACACTCAGAAATTAGTTAAGAGTAACCAGCTCTTGGAAAAGGATAAGCCACTCTATGCAAATACTCTTGCAAAGGTTCTCTATTAATGCAAATATTATGTTTGTCTTTTATTTTAATGCAAACAGCATCTGTTCTGCATGGTCCACGCCAGCACTTTGGAGTCTGTGTGGAGCATCTCAAGTGTGTTCCAGCTGCGTTTCAGAGTTTGAAACAGACTCTGAGAGACGCAGAGCCACAAAAAGCAGGTCACGGAAGAAAACAGAAAGCAAACCAGTTCAGCGGGGCCCCTTCCAGGAGGCTTCTTTCTCTTCTAAGGCAGGAGAGAAACCAATCCAAGAATGGATTCCCAGATTTCCTTCTGCCGAGGTTTGGCTTTATGTGTGGGATCTTTCTTTTTTAACAGTTTTGACTAAGGAGAAATTAGGATTGCTTTTTCGATAAAATCCTTTGCAGAGAAAAGAGACTCAGAACAACACATGTGGGAAAGGACAGGCTGGGTGGGGCCAGGCTGCCACCCGGAGCACTGACCCAGCGCCGAGGCGGGTGCCGGCCCCTCCCAGAAGGCCAGGACCTCACCCCAGCCACATCTTCCTCCTCTCATGGAAGGTGGTGGCCATCCAGAAGGCTCCCTGCCAACACCGGCTTCCTCAGATCATGGCACTGACACTGTTCTGTCTCCGCCACCAGACAGAGAGGTCCTAAGAGGGGGAGAACCTTGTCGGGTTTTGTGTCCATGACCCTGAATCAACGATTAGTTGAGCAGCAGGAGAGATGGATGGGTGGATGCCTGCATGAGTAAATCAGACTCCCTATGGGGAAACATAATTCACGGAAACACTGACCTGTCTGTCGTCCTTCAGATATCAGATATAGTCAGCTTCCAAATCTCTACCCAAGCAAGAAGATCTGAAAACAGTTTGACCTCAACACGCTGATAATACTGGTTTCCCCATTCCATCTGTGCCAAGCGCAGCTACACTGCCAGTCAGCTCCAGGAGCCCAAAAGCCTTCGGGGGACAGCCTAGGAAGGCAGAAAAACCTAGGTATTTTCCGATGTCCCTCAACAGAAACATCAACTCTCTCACACTTGCTGTTAAAACTCTAAAAGCTCCATGTAGACAAATAACTCTGGGTAAACAACATCCGCATTCATATAACCCCTTTGATGATTATCTTAGTTAATAATTTCATTTCAAATTGCCTAATTTTCCATATATACTGCTAATCACCTTACAGACGAATTTTGTTTTGACCAAAAAAATTCTCTGAATATTGAAATGTAATAAACATAACTGCTTAAAAAATGCAAGTACCAAAAGAAATGTGAAACAGGCCATGTGGCCCAGTCTCAGCACAGAGAAGAATCACAGCAGCTGGACAAATGTAAACACATCTTCTTGATAAAACTACTAAGTTAACAAAACAGTGAAGAATTATAGGACCAGACAAAGGCCGAGGCCAGGATGGCATTTGGGGCTGGTTTTCCCCTGTTGGTATCTGCAGGGCCCCAGCCATCTATGAATCTTTAGGGCTTCTGATCACCTATTGCAGATACTGAGGGCAAGAGAGAAAGAAGGAAGTATGGGCTGGGATCCGGAAGCAACCCCAGGGAAAAAGAGACCCCACAATAAATGGACCCTCAACAATTGCGGCTCTGCTTCTAATGACTCCTCAGTCCTTCCGATAGAACTCAAGGGATGCCTCACTGCCAGGGCCCCCAAGCACCAGGCACAACAAACCTCAGTCTTCCATGGAGCAGGATGTCATCATCCTAGGCCTCAAACTGTCTCAGCAGATCTTGTAAATACAGCTTCAGCACCAACACTCACACATTCACCTATCGGGTAGAGGAAAAGACAAGAACAGAACAGCACAGAAACCACAAACAGCAGGAACAAGGCCCTCGGGGCTCCAGGTGACAGAACGATGGGAAAGAGACTTTGTTCCTTATTTGTGCAAACAAAAGCTTCAAAGGAGGAAAAGTAATAGTGTTTTAGTCACAGTAAAAGAGGTGAATGCAATTTCAGATCCTGTGGTAGTTTTGGAAATAGATTTTAAATAAAGAATTTCTATGTTTAAAAAGATGAAGTGGAGGCCAGCCGCAGTGGCTCACACCTGTAATCCCAGCACTTTGGGAGGCCAAGGCAGGTGGATCACCTGAGGTCAGGAGTTCGATACCAGCCTGGCCAACCTGGTAAAACCCCATCTCTACTAAAAGCACAAAAATTAGCCAGGCATGGTGGCGTGCCTGTAATCCCAGCTACTCGGGAAGCTGAGGCAGGAGAATCACTTGAACCCGGGAGGGGGAGATGGCAGTGAGCTGAGACTGTGCCACTGCACCCCAGCGTGGGAGACAGAGCAAGACTCTGTCTCCAAAAAAAAAAAAGAGAGAGAGAAGATGAACTGGAAACTTGAAAAGAGAATTCTAGAACTGAAAAATGCAAGAAGTGAAATAACATCATTTATTTTCCATCATTTAACAGATTAGACACGGCTAGAATGAATTTGTGAGTAGGAAGATGGGCCAGAAGGAAATTTCCAGAATGATCTCAAAGGTCAAGGGAGGAAGCCAGAGAAGGCACAGAGACAGAACGTGCGGGGAAGACAGGGGAGGAGACAGTCAACGGGTCACAGGAACATCTGAAAGGTCACTGGCAGAGAACTACCCCAAGCGGCTCGAAGACACCGAGTAAAATTGCTGGAAACAAAAACAGCCACGGTGGTAGGAGGGTTTATTACCTACAAAGAACAGCAGTTAGGATGGCTGGTGATTTCTCAACAGAAACACATAAACCAGAAAACAAGGATGCCTTTCAAAGTGCAGAAGGACTGCTTGAAAATACTCAAAGATGACAACTGGCACACTAGAATCCTATAACCGGCACGGACACCCTTCGGAGTCATTGGCCACCAAAAACTGATCTGTCGCTGGAAGACATTCTCACAACTGATCTCAAAGGGAAGACTGAGAATGATCACCGAGAGAAAGACATATGGAAGTGAATGCTGACAAGTCATAGTTGAAGTATGTGAAACAACGCTACGGAAGAGACAGGGCAAAGGACTAAGTGCACAGTGAAGTTGGCAGAGGGCACCCAGACACGGCAGGCAACCGCGTTCTATGCAAACTCAAGGCTCCACTCCGAAGCAAAGACTACCAGACTGCACGGAAGAATAGAAAATTAAAGAATTAACCCAAACACATGCTATTCACAAGGAAATATCTAAAACATACAGCTATGCAAAGTATGAAAAGAAAACATTTGGAAAAATATGTACCTTGCAAATAACAACCCGAGAAAGGTTGGTTAATGTAAAGTCGACTCTAATAAAGGTGTTGATTCTTGACTTTGACAGCGTACCACTCCAGTTTTCAAAATACAATACAATTAAACTAAAAATCAACAACAAAAATGAAATAGGAAAACCTTAAAAGACACTTGGCCAGGCGTGGTGGCTCACACCTGTAATCCCCAGCCCTTTTGCAGGCTGAGATAGGCAGATCACCTGAGCTCAGGAATTCAAGACCAGCCTGGGCAATATGGTGAAACCCTGTCTCTACCAAAAATACAAAAAAATCCGGGCGTGGTGGCACTGTGATCGCAGCTACACAGGTGGCTGAGGTGGGAGGATAACTTGAGCCTGGGAGGCGGACATTGCAGTGAGCTGACATCACACCATTGCACTCTAGCCTGAGTGACAGAGCAAATCCCCATCTAAAAAAAACAAAGCAAAACAAAACAACAGCAACCAAAAAACATACTTACAAATCACCTGTACGCCAAAGGGAAACTGAGTAACCAATAAAAACACTTACAAATCACCTGTACGCCAAAGGGAAACTAAGTGACAAATAAAAACACTTACAAATCACCTGTATGCCAAAGGGAAACTGAGTAACCAAAAAACATACTTACAAATCACCTGTACGCCAAAGGGAAACTGAGTAACCAATAAAAACACAAATCACCTGTACGCCAAAGGGAAACTGAGTCACCAATAGAAACAGTTACAAATCACCTGTACGCCAAAGGGAAACTGAGTAACCAATAAAAACACTTACAAATCACCTGTACGCCAAAGGGAAACTGAGTCACCAATAGAAACAGTTACAAATCACCTGTACACCAAAGGGAAACTGAGTCACCAATAGAAACACTTGCAAATCACCTGTACGCCAAAGGGAAACTGAGTCACCAATAGAAACAGTTACAAATCACCTGTACACCAAAGGGAAACTGAGTCACCAATAGAAACACTTGCAAATCACCTGTACGCCAAAGGGAAACTGAGTAACTAAAACTGCGCACGTTAAATTTCAGCTGAAGCCATGCACAGAAGAAAATGGCCTTAACATCCTGATATTCGAGTTCCATTTCAGAGGCTTCAAAAACAACAGAAATTAAGCTCAATAAAAGTGAAAGGAAGTAATAAAGAGCAGAACTTACTGAAACAGAAAAGGGATATAAACAGAACTAACAAAACCAAAAACTGGTTCTTTAAAAAGATGAATGAAGAGGAAAGAAAAAAGGAACTTCTCGGCCCGGAGCCCACAGGAGGATGAGCCGCAGTCCCCAGACCACAGCCTGCGAGTGGGAAACGGGGCCCTGTGGGGGCAGGACAGGAGAGGAAGAGAGAAGTGACACCGCGAGGTGTGCTTTGTCAAGGGCATCTGACAGCCAACTCTGGAGCCCTGGATCCAAGGGAAACTTCATGCTGGAGACTCAGGAGCCAAATGACACTGCTCCCCACTTCCACCCACAATGCTTTGATTTATTCCCTAACTCCATGCCACGCTGCCACTTCTGTAAGCTGGGCAATTCATTTTGGTGAAGTTCAGCTGAAAGACAGAGGTTGGGGGGGGGTCCCATTCACTGGGAGCCCCTCTGCGGGCCGCGTGTCCGGGATGTCTGCGAGCGCCCCGTGGCGGCTCTCATGCAGCAGTATCACATGGTGCGCGTGACAGTGGACTCTGGAGCCAGATGAGCAATGAAACCAGACTCCCTCCCTCTCCAGCTGTCAGATCTCAGGCCAGTTTTATATGTTCCAGTTTCGTCATGATGAAAAGCGGAGGACAGGACAATGCTTGGGTCTCAGAGTGTTGATACGAGTATTAAGCAAGTGGTACAAATAACAGGTCTGGAACAGGGTCTGCTTGTTACCCAGTAAACATGCAGGACGTTTCCAGAAGCATGAAGCCCCTGTCACCCTTCATCGTGGTACATAATGCCCAAACCGGCCGCTGACCTCACCTCTCTGCCCTCCAGCAATCCCTACACTGTGGCCACAGTGCCTCTATCAAATCCCTATCAGGCCGGGCCCTCACTCCTGGGAGTACTGCTTCTCCGTGGCTCTGCTGCGTGGCCTGTGGCCTCTGGCTCTGCACCTGCAGCCTGCAAGGTCGAAGGTCCAGGCCCCCCTGCCATTGTGTTCTCACCTGCAGCCTCCCCAAGGGCACATCTTCCACCTGGGGCCTGAGCCCTGCCTTCCCTTCCCCTTAACACTGCCTTGTGCAAATGGCTTTGTCTTTGCTGGGATGGGGACTCACACTTTGAACCTGAGAAGGAGGCACAGAAGCCCTATCCAGTCAGCTGCCACCAAGAAAGCCCAGCTTCCTGCGTGCAAGACAATGAGGCCAGGGCACTGGGGTCCACACAGAGACGGCGGCCTGAGAGGGGCTGGAGCAGCAGTCGCCACTGCCTGCAGGCACACACGCCCACACTCGATGTGGCGCTAAGGTTTCAGGTGGACATTCTAGATGTTTTGCTTGTTTTTTGTAGATACAGGGTCTCGCCACATTGCCCAGGCTGGGCTTCACCCCACGCTCCTGAGGCAGGGTCATGAGGGTGGTGCTAATGAGAAGACTAAGCTCAGCTGGCCCACCCCATAAAAAACAAAAAACCAAGAATTGCGCAGGTGAGACAGGCACTGCCGAGACCCGATGCACTCTAGGAACTCAGTCCAGCAGAGTGTACAGCATGCCCAGGTCACATGTTAGAGGCAAGAATGAGGAGGCCTACAGAAGGCGCCACCCCCAGAACTCACCCCAGCAGTGCCAGGCGCCCAGAGGGAGTGTGGCCACAGCCAGCCGGGCTCCTCGCAGACGGAAGCAAACTGTGGCAGGCCCCGGCTCCAGGAGGCAGGCGGCCCCGGGGACCCTGTGAGGTACGTCCATGGGGCATCCTGGGACATGATGAAACACGCTTCAACTGTTGGCAAAACCAGGCTCCTTGCTGCCCTGCTGGCAGGCACACAGACATCCCACACTGGGAGCCTCATATCCACAGAGGGAGCCTTCTGGTTCCCCACAACCCACGGACTAGAAACGAGGCTGGGCAAGGGGTCTCCTTGCTGAAAAAAAGCAAAAGTTGGTGTTCTCCGAGGGCCTGGTGAGACAGTGACCCAGGCCCAGGGGAAGGAGGAAGGGGCAGCAGCGGGCTGGTCCACTCTTAGAAGGAGAGGTCTCCAACTCAGACCCCATCAGAACCCGCCCTTGCTCCTTACCAGTGCACGAGCCCCCAGCAGGGCCACCAGCAGGTTCTGCCGCTGGCATGCCCAGGGCAACTGAGGAGTCTGGGAAAGCCAGTGTCGGAGGGTGCCTGGGTTGCCTGGTGCCATGAAAGCACTGTCTTCCTGAGACCTGGCACCTACAGGCTGGCCTCTTCCCCCAAAGGCCCCAGATATGGAGGCCCCAGGTGAGAGTCCAGCAGGGTGGCGGCCGCCCCCTTGTCGCTCCAGGTCCCAAGGGACCCTCCCAACCACGCCAGCACCGCCTGAAGTGACGCCGGCCCGTACTCACCCCAAGACCCAAGGAGGAGCCATGGTCCATGGACACCCACTACAGGGTATCCACGTGGCTTGTTAGAAGCCAGCATTTCGTCCTGTGGTGTCTCCTTGGGGGAACCCTAAATTTCTGTGATGTGAGAGAAAATTTTCCTGGGATTTACAGAAACCTTGGCTTAGTACCAGAGGCCACAATAACACGCTTTAGAAACAGAACAGCAATTTGGTTCTCTGCGGAATTGTAAGTGGAAGGATGTATTTTTCTTGAGATTTTAAAAATAATTAGGAGGAAGAGAGAAAAGAGAAGCTTTTATGAAGGCAGAGATAGAAAGCTAATTAGAAACAGATGAGGATCCTCTCACATCACCCACGCCTTGCTTGCCCAGGTCTGAGACGAGGCACCACCATTAGCAGACAAGACTGATCGCCATTCTGAGGGGCCAGAGCCTGGCTCTGACACTTCCAGCCAAGTGTCCCCGTCCTCGGCCCGGCCTCATTTTCTGGGCAAGGGTGTGGGACTAATGAGATCTGGGCCAGGGCGGCGGTGGGCAGGGGCCACAAGGACACCCCTGAGGGCGTGCACAGCTAAGGCGCCGTGGGCAGAGGGTACACTGTTGGCCGAACTCCCAGCCCATGATCACAGATGGGGGCCTGTGCTGAAGCACTGAGGACATGGATAGGCTGTTCTGGAACCCACCTGGCAGCTCTTGGAAAAGCTGGTGCCCTGGTGAGCAGGAGAGTGTGAGGCTCTAAGGAACAGATTCCTCACTGAAGGTCAGGGTACCACGGAGACAGCCTGGAAGCTTCCGTGCTTCATGACAGATCTCCATGGGAAGCCCCCGTGGAAGCCGAGCCCAGGAAGGGCCCATTCTGCAGATGAAGACACCGGAGAAGGAAGGATGTGGACACTGCCCCAACACTCGGGACCAAGAGAAGCCCAGTGACACCGGCAGAGACACACCACCACAATCACGGCGGTGAAACATGAACACACCACCCTTCTTCACATCTGCTGTGTCAGCTCCCTGGCCTCTGCCCCAGAGGTCAGAAAGGGGCCACCGTGCCACTGCTGGTCAGCCACCCCGGAGCCTGCCCTGAGGACCCCGCCCAGCCCAGCCCCCTGCCTGGCGAGCGCCCCTTCTCTTAGCGCCACCTCCAGCAGGTGAACAGCTTCACCCTCAAGCTGCCCGCTGGGCCTCCGTGCACAGTGTGGAGGCGTCCACCTCTGTCCCTCCAGGATCCCCCAGGCAGGGCAGCTGTTGGCACAGATGCCGAAGGGTACTACAAGGCCTGCACAGGCCGTTGTTAAGGGCAGGGCAGAGAGGCCCTACACACAGCAGCATCTCCGCACCTTGCCTGAGAGTATGTTCTGCAGGGACACGGGAGAGGAGAATAAACAGGGTCAGGACAGCCAGGAAAGGCCTCCAAGATGGAGGTGTTAACCACATGTAAAGTGATTCCTGAGAAACGTGAGGCCACTGACGGGGACAGAGCCCATGCTGCTGTCCCGGAAAGACAAAGCGAGCCACCTGCCTGGGCCCCACGTCTCACTCGGCTGAGCCTCACCTCCTGCCGCCCGATCTAAGGTGGCCACCCAGCAATGCCACTCCATGCCCCTCTCTGCAGAGGGGAGGCTCCGTGAGGGCAGAGCCCCTGCCGGGCCACCGCTCCCCTCAGACTTAAAAGGAAGGGTATCTTGGCACCTCCAAGAGCCAGTGGCTTACTCGGGGCACACAGGACCTTTGGGGTAGGGCTGTCCCTGGGCAGAAGCTCAACGGCTGAAAACAAAAGGGGACACGCGGCCCTGGAGAGGAGCGAGGGCTCGCGGGGAGAGAGGCTCTGGCCTCAGCCGAAGGTCACACCCTAGAGGCCATCCCAGATGCCGGGATAGTGGCCACTCGGGGACTCCCAGCAGGCACAGGCTTCCCTCTTTGCACTCGGGCCACCCCAGCCTCTGCTGCAGCGGAGCAGGGGTGCCTGCCAGGTTCCGCTCAGTGTCGCTTCACAAATGGAAGTACCGGCAATTTCCAAGTGCAGCTCACATTTGTGAGTGTGGCCAAGGAGCGAAAGAGCGTGGGGGCAGGAAACGGGACTCTGTGTGGCTGGTTTTTAAATGCCTGTTAAAAATGTGCTAATGTAAGACTGTGCATGAAGGTCGCCGGGCAGGTGCAGCGGTTTATCTGGGTAAAAGAAGTGTGGCTGCCCACAGCTCTGACAGGATGGCCAGCCACACGACCAGATGGAGACACCCGGGTGAACAGAGGCCCTCCTGATCCTAGGTGGCCAACGGGGTGCTCTGAATGATGCTCCCTGCAGCTCCTCATACCCCGAAACCTGCAGAGGTTGAGGAAGCCAACGCAGAAGGTCGGTAGAAGCCAGGGTCTCTGGAAGCCCCGTCCCGTCTGTGGTGTTTCTGGGGGACACTCTCCTAGAAGCCACTTCCTTCTAGGTGGGCCATGCCTTTCGGCAGGTCCCAGGGTGTCAACACTATGCGGGGACACCTGACCCACCACTGCCCAGTCTGAGGGTCCTGCCCCTTCCTTCCTACCTGATGTGTCCAGGAACCTGAGTGCCCCAGGCTGCCAAAGGCGTGGCAACGGGTTTTCTTTCTTTTACGAGCCAGAAGCTGCCTCTCAGAACTGTCCAGCTTCAAAGAACCCATAGGATGGACTTTCCTGTCCCTCCCCCACTGCAGAGCAGGTCAGGAGCTGTGGAGCGGAGGATGGGGGGCCTAGAGCCAGGGGCCAGCCCTGGGGCCCTCCCACCTCCCTTGAGCTGCTCCAAGCCTGCCCCAGAAGAGGACCTGCTGCTCCAGGTCACCCTAAGTCCCAGGTGACAATCAGGACTCCCACAGGATGGGTCCAGCACATTCAGGAGAAATCAGAGCTCCAACAGCGCTCCAGAGGCACCCGCCACAGATGGAACCATAAAACGCTTCCCTTCAAATGTGTGACTTCTCAGCAAACACAGCCACAGACTTTCATATCAGGAAGTAGTCTTAGCCCAGCAACAGGTGTGGCTTCAAAATAAATCACCCTCCAGTGAAGCCCAGGTCTCACACTCAGAACCCGCACTTCCCAAATCAAGAAAAACCCCACGGCCCGCAGCCTCCCAGACCCACCCTCTGCTCCCTCTGGGCGCTGCATGTGGGGTGGGTGTGGTGGCGGGGCAGGGACCCAGGCCCTCCCTTTGCCCTGGACTCTCCAGCTCTGCAGGGCCTTGGCACACAAACGACAGAGCAGGAATACGAGATGATGCCAATGCCCACCGAGCCACAGCGGACTCCAAGGGATCCCAGACAACACTGTCGCAGACAGCGGGATTCCTGGCACTTCCGAAGACCATTTTAAGGTTATGCATGAGCTCAAGTATTCTGCTAGGTCCTGGGGTGAACGAGAATGCCGGAGTCATGCTGTGGGCTGGCTGGCACTGAGTGGGCAGTGCCCCGGTCAGGGTGCAGTACTGACCTTTTGGTGGGGCCAGGCAAGGCCAGAGAGAGCAGCCCGTCCACCCGCACATACCAACCATATGGCAGCTGTGGCCTGCCTTGCCCAGCTCCCCCTCCAAGGACAGGGAGGGAGACACAGAGCCCTAAGCCCTCACAAGGCTACTGTGGCATCCAGGGGGGCTGCCAGCTACCAGTGGCCGCTGAGACCACAGGGCCAGGAGCCACACAGGTCTGCCGGAGACCACTGAGCTGGCATCCCAGCAGGGTCTGAGGCAGGGCACCCACGCTCCAGGCAGGCCAACCTCCTGCAGCAGAGCCGCCAGGTGAGGTACGTGCCCCTGACTCTCCCACAGGCCGGGACCACGGTCCCAGGAGCCCACACTGAGATTCTGACCATCCTCACTGTCCTGCACTGCAAGCCACTGGCTTGGCCCACCGGGCCCTTGGTGACCTCCTCAGAGCCACCCTGCCTGCAGCAGAGATTCAGACCACCTGCCCAGGGGCACTTGGCTCTGTGCTAGCCATGCTACACCACCTGTTCCAGAGGGGCCTCAGGGGCTGCTGAGGACAGACGAGGCTCTCCATTACAGAGCAGATGCCCAGAGGCAAGAGTCCACGATTTCATGGCACACAGCTTTGCTCCCTCTGGAAACTTGTAAACCACTGGCCAAGAAATCATCATGGCTTCCACACACCCAAAGCATCTGCTGCGGCTCACAGCTAACATCCACCTTTCTTCCCTCTGTCTCCACATTCCACATCTGCCCCCAGGACCCTCCCAATGTCACCATTTCCAGGTAGCCCAAAGGGGACTGTGAGCCTGCAAAGTAGAAGGGACTCCTTCACTCAGCCAGGCCCGACGGTGCCTACGTGGCATCCTCTCAGCCGCTACAGCTCCTGGGACTTGCACCCTATCCCACACCCAGGTGCTGTGGCCTCCCCAGCCCTAACCACTGGGGATCCCCTAAGCCACAGGGGACAAAGCAGGGCCACTGGTCATCTCTCCGTACACCACCCTGGGCATCCTGGGCACAGTGGCTGTGGGCGGCTGGTGCTCACAGATGTGCAGAGGGAGAGTAAGTGCCCACACGGTCTCTGTGGCAGCTGTACACTGCCTGGGGGGTGCCGCTTAGCCATCTGCAACTGCTGGGGCACTGGATCCATGACCTGACATCTGGAGTCGCCGTTTCTGACTTGGGAGAGAGAGGAACCTGACTCCCAGGGTCTAGTATGGTGCCCAGCCCACAGAAAGTGCCCATCCACTGCGCCTGTGATTACACTTCGTAAACACTAACCCGTGACCATGGATATCCATATGACACCAGACAGACGGCATCGCTCTGATATAGAGCCTCCCACGGAAGCCGATGGTGTCCGAGCAGCACAGGCGGCCGATAGTCCCCAGCGGAACACCAGGGCCCAGGGCACCACTCAGTAGCTGCCCAGGGGCCCCGGATGCAACAGTGGACAGCCAGGACTCCCCGAACCCTTGAGGACCAGTGAAGGTAGCAAAAACCTTCCCGGAAGGACTCAGCCCAGCTATAGAGAGTTGTACACACAAGAAACTAGCCACAGACCGGAAACGTCAAACCACAGCTTGGTGGCACTTCCTCACGAGGAGACAGAGCTCGAGCCAAGGCGGGCCAAGAGGGCTCCGCAGGAGGGGCCTGCTCCAGGTCACGCCCTTCTCCACAGCAAGGGGGACTAGAATCACATGGACCAGGACCTCACGAAGAGCTCTGCACTGGGGCAGGCCCCCGTCCCCTCGCCGGCTTCTCCCCCCATCGAGGACAGAGACTGCTCCAGCCAGCCGGTCAGTTTCCCCACAGAGCCCGCTGCGAGCCGTCGCTCCCGGCCTCGGAGTTCCTGCATCGCCATCCCACGCACTCCAAACCCGTCTTTCAGACACCATCCTGTCTAAACACGAGTGCCCCTTCCTAAGCGCTTACAACACACACTCCTGGCTACAGGCGACCCTTGAATAAATCAGAATTTCTCTAACTGTTGTCCACATGAGGTCAAAGAGTTATCAAAATAACCAGAAAATGTTTTGAGAGGGGTTTAAATTCACTGGGTTGTGATTTTTTTTATTTGCGCAATTCATCCAATTCTCGGTGCTGAGCTCTCTCCTGAGGAAGTGGGAATGTGTGCTGGAGAAAGTGAACTTGGTCCTCAGCAGGCTGGGAGGCCAACAGCGCTGGCGGCGCCCAGGCTCGGGCTGGTGGCCAGGATGGTGGAGCCGGCAGGCCAGGCCCCGCTGACAGCCCTGGGCAGGCCCATCCTGGAAGGAACAGGGCCCACACCGCACTGCGAAGAGTGATCCAAGAGATCAGAGATTAGACTAGGGCCTAGATTTTCTCAGGATAAAGTGTGATTTTGAAAAGATGCTGAGTAAATAAGCCACAAATCAAGGATAAGATACTCATCATGAAAGTAAACAGATTTCTCCCTGAGCTCTGCCTTATCACAAGAAGGAATCAAAACACTTCCTCCTCGGTGATGGCTTTAACCAAGCATTTCTGCAATACAGTCAGACCGCCTGGAGGGACAGGAGAACCCGCCCTGTGATTAGAAGCCTGCAGGCCCAGGAAGGTAGGGTGGTCCCTGGTGGTATGGTACCAGGTGGTCTCAGGACCACCCATTTCCTGTCAGGGACACAGCCCCTCACAAGGGCTTGATGGGAAAGGGAACAGGACTCCCCAGGAAACTGCAGAGATCCAGGGGTGCCAACTCAACTTCTCTGCCCTTTTATCAGTCGTTAACCAAGAACAGGGTCAGAAAGGCAAGATTTGTGCAGAGGCCCACCTGGGGACCCCTGGCACCAGGGGGATGGTGCCAGGACCCAGGAGGCCTTGGGGCCAGGGACCAGGGCTAGGCAAAGGCATGGGAGGGCCCCAGTAAGCCTTGTCCTCAGAGCAGAGACCTACATAGGGTCTCCACCCCTCCACATCCCCCAAAATGGAAAGAAACAAAGGAACAGCTAGACAGGAGAATGGAATCGCACTGGCTTTTAAAGAAAGGTTGCTAGCACTGGCAAGAAATCTTGAGGACCCATCCCTTCCGTAGCGGAGCTTCCAACAGCTTGATTCTAGACAGCTCTCACTGAGAAGTTGAAGGAGAATACACGGTGAACGTGCACACTAACCTAATTTCCCACAGATGGAAGCCAGGCAGGCACCCTCCCCCAATTCAGACACCCGCACATTCCTCCTACACACAAGGGCACGTGCATAGGCACCTAGCAGATACTGCATGTCATCTGTGCGCCCAGGGAGAGGCTGGGTCTGCCTTACCGGCACTGGCCGGGTCACTCCTGCAGGCGTCGCCTCAGTGCCTGTTACCAAGAGCCTGGGCGCCGCCAGCGCTGTTGGCCTCCCAGCCTGCTGAGGACCAAGTTCACTTTCTCCAGCACACATTCCCACTTCCTCAGGAGAGAGCTCAGCACCGAGAATTGGGTGAATTGCGCAAATAAAAAAAATCACAAGCTCAGTGCCAAACTCCATTCCAGTCTGCGGGAATTCTCTGCAGGTTCCATTCTTCAGACCCTCAGTTTTCCCCGCTGAATGAGCATGATGCCCCACTGGCCTCCTGGAGGAGGGGTCCTTACACATGCCCCAGTGGGCTGGCCACTGCAAACCCTGTGTGGCGTCACCTCGTGCCCAGGAGTGCCACTCACCACATGTTCAGAGGCTGAGTTTCTTCTAAGGGAAGATGACTCAAGTCATTTCAACTTACAGACATGGCAAATCTTCCAAGCCGCTCGCAAGGGGAAAAGTACAAACCATCCACACACAACAGCGGAGCTCCAAGGCCAGTGATGATGGCTTTGGTCCTCACAATCCAAGGCTGGCTCGGATCCCAGCACGTTAACTGCACATCATCGCGTGTCAGGGCTTCGCAGACAAGTGCAGTGTAGGGACCTGACTCACCTCTCCCCTCAAATGATGTCCTCACACAAAACAAAACAGGCGACTCGGAGAGAGTCGGATGCACACAGGGGGCCCTTGAGCTCATCTCTGGATGAGCTCAGGATGTCACCAGGCTTTCAGGAGCCTGACCACCCCCAGGGCAGCGGCTGAGGACCCAGAGTTCCCATCAGCTCTGTCTCGGGCTGCACTGGAGCCGCATGTGGACCCTGCAGCCTGTCCACATCCGTATGTGTAAAAATGCATGGATGATAGAAACAGAAAAGCACTGTTGGTGATACAGTGAAAAGGCAGATTCTGGGCAAGCCGAAGGAACAGGGCTGCAGCCTCACCGGGATGCTCATTAGCTGCACCAGGACCTATTCAACTGGAAAGGAGAAACAGCAGAGCTGGCAACATACAGAAAACCAGGAAATCTCTTAGAGAGACACAGCGAAGCAGGCGATAGAGAAAAGAACACCTTTAAAACTGAGAATCCAGGCCGGGCGCGGCGGCTCACGCCTGTAATCCCCGCACTTTGGGAGAAAGGCAGGCGGATCACGAGGTCAGGAGATGGAGACCATCCTGCCCAACATGGGGAAATCCCATCTCTACTAAAAACACAAAAATTAGCCAGGCCTGGTGGCGCACACCTGTAGTCCCAGCTATTTGGGAGGCTGAGACAGGAAAATTGCTTGAATTCGGGAGGCAGAGGTTGCAGTGAGCCAGGATCACGCCACTGCACTCCAGCCTGGGTGACAGAGTGAGACTCCGTTTCAGAAAAAAAGACAGAATCCAGAATAAGCTGAAATAGTCCGGGGGCTAAAAAGCCTAGACATTCACACCCTCATCAGGACGACTGTGACTATCACGTTCCTGGGAAGTGAACCGCTCCCTTGTTCCAAACAAAGCTGTGATTTCTTCCACGCACTAACAGGAAACTACCTGGAATTTCTGAAATCATTAAACCAGCTACTTAATGGAAAGGAGTAAGACGACCTGTTGGCAGATGTGACAGACGGGGGTGTTACTATGAGCAGCACCTGCAGGCCTAAGTGTTCTTCATTCAGACCAGTATATGCACAGACCTCCAAAAACCCCAATACAGAGCAAATTATATACTGGTAGGCTAGCTCTGGGCAAAGAAAATACAGTGTCTGTTCCTCATTGAGGAAGACGAGAAATACGTGCATCAACATCAAATAAATCCCCCAAAATACTCACAACTCAAAGACCTGGGTATGTCTGACAGTCACACAACCTTGACTTTTCTCATTCACCTGGGCTGAAAGAAATGCAGAATTCAGAATTTAAAACTAGTAACAATGTTGGGGCTCAGTATGTTTTTTTGTATTTGTTTTGAGACAGGGTCTCACTCCAGTTGCCCGGGCTGGAGTGCAGTGGTGCAATCACGGCTCACTGCAGCCTTGGCTTCTTGGGCTCAGGTGATCCTCCCATCTCAGACTCCCAGGTAGCTGGGATCACAGGTGCACAGCACCACTCCCGGCTAATTTTTGTGCTTTTAGTAGAGAAGGGGTTTTGCCCTGTTGCCCAGACTGCTCTTGACCTTCTGAGCTCAAGCGATCTGCCCGCCTTGGCCTAACCACAGGCTTGGGATCACAGGTGTGAGCCACCGTGCCCAGCCAGCTTAGCATGTTTTTCCTTTACATGTTCTAAGTTTCAGTGCTGTTGTGTTTGGAGCAGCCAGGAATACTCCAATGAAACTGATGACTCTGAAAACACCTGTTCCTTCCGGGTGACTGCCTTCAGGATGCAGGAGCCGATTCCCCGGCGTTCTCCCTGGAGCCCCCCATCCCCCGACACAGATGTCTGGATTCTCCAGTAGATGCTGCAGTCATCCCCATTTTACAGACACAAACCCTGGGCGGCTGAGGCCAGCGCAGCTGGTGAGTCAGAGTTCACTTCTGGACCCCGACCTACATCCTTCCAAGACGTGGCCTCTTTCCTCAGGATGTGTGTCCCACATTCAGAGTCCCTGATGGCTCCATGTCCCATAATTAACCTGTCCACAGGGGAGAGGTCCACCTGGAAGCTACAGAGAGCCGTCAAAATTCCTTGGAACAGGTGTTTAGATGGGGACAAGCCACTATCACGCTGCAATACTCATAAGACCAATACACATCTCAGTGGACACTCAGAACCTGGCACCAGAGTCCAACACACCCTGCACAGTAATGACAAAAAAGCACAGTTTCAGAAACAAATCAACAAAGAAGCCCAGCTCTCTCTCTCAAACCTGCAATTTACTTGGCCATTTTCCCATGGACATTCAATTAAAAACAACTGTGGGAAAAGCGAATGTAGCCATTAGATGCTGCAGGAAGCTGGCTGGGCAATAAAGGATGCCTCTCTCCCAACAGCCCCGAGAAGACTTTTAGCATTTACATTCGACAGGAGCCAAAAGCCAGGAGCCCCAAGAGGAGGGCCTCATCGTTCCCATCCAGTAAATGTCTGATAGGGTACCAAGACACAGGCAACAAAAGAAAACAAAATGGCAAAATAGGACACCGTGGAAATGAACAACCCGGGAACTTAGAGGACAGGACTCCCTGAAGGATGGAAAACAATGTTTGCAAATCATTTACCTGACCAAGGAGCTTCATTTACAATATAAAGGGGTTTCGACAACTCCACAACAATAGGCAAATAACCTGATTTTAAAATGAGCAAAGCATTTAAACAGACATCTCGCTAAAGAAGAGGCAGGACAGGCCATGAGCATGTGCAAAGACGCTTGCCATCATTTGCTGGTAACATCTGGAAAATGTAACTCAAAATCACAATGAGATGTCACTTTCCACAAGAGTGGCCACAATAAAAAAGATAAGACCACCCTGACATCAAACCCAGCACTGGAACCTCTCTCAGCCAGCCATCTGCACTCACCCCCAAGGCACCCCTGCCCTGCTGCTGTGGGCGCCCAGGCGATGCCCTCTGACCCTGACAGAGCAGGGCAGGCAGCTGTAGGGGACAAGAGCAGCAGAGGGGCTCACCTCTGTGCCTCCCTAGACCCTTAGACGGGCATCAGCACTGGGCCTCTTGTCCCGAGCTGTCCCTGTATTCCTGCAAGGGCTTCTTCCTGCCCTGGCGACCTGGCCAGAGAGTGGCCTGCCATGACCAGAACTGTAGGGCTGAGGGCGGAGCACGGGAAGGCTGAACAATGTCCCACACCGGGTCCACATCCTCGTTCCCAGAAGCTCGGCATACATCACCTCAGATGGTAAAACAGACTCTACAGATGTGATGAGGGAATCAGATAAATTCTGGGGACAGGAATTGTACCAGGTGACAAGGTGTCTTGTCGCAGCAAAGCAAGGAAGTGATCAGACTGCAAAGGTCGTGTCCAAAAGACTCAAAGGCCAACTCCACAGGGCTCCAAGGGGACAAGGTGAACGTCAGTGAGAGTAACAGCAGCAAAGGCTTAGAAGACATGGAATATACTCAGATCCACCAGCTCACAATGATCTGCAGAAGCAAGCAGCAAAACGCACTAGTTACCCTTCAGGTGATGTAAAGCATGAGCTCATTCCTCTGAAAGACAGTAAATAAAGAAAGCCTTCCCTGTGTGAGCTGAAGAGCTGAGGAGGGGCACTTCCCCTCCACAAAGTCTTTTACCTGATTCAGGAAGAAGGAATGAACATCTTGGAGTATCACCCCGCAGCCCCCGTGAAGGAAGGAATGAAGCTAGACAGCAACCTTCAATACCCACCCATCACTCAGCAAAAAACAAAAACGTCCACACCCCCATGCCACAGTCTTGCCAACTAGCCCCGGTCGGGCACGGGCTCCAGCTGAGACCACCAGGCCAGCAGAAAGAGACGGGGGAGGAACCTGCTGAACACACCCCAGTGGACACAGGCCGTGAGAGCTCCACTGTGGCCACGAGACAGGACAACGAGCCGAGTTCCCCAACAAAGACTGGCAGGGAGCGGGAGGAAGCCCAGTGACAGTGGCCCCTCAGAACCCAGGGACCGACCTTAACCGCTATTTGAACAACAGCTACATACAAAAAGGAAAGAGACTGGAAGCTTTTGAGACAATGGGGATTGTAAATGATGCCTGATTATCTGATGGTATTGACGTATTCATGTGTGCAAGCTGTGACCACCGTATCGTGGCTGCGTGTTCAGAAGATATTGACGTATTCATGTGTGCAAGCTGTGACCACCGTATCGTGGCTGCGTGTTCAGAAGATATTGACGTATTCATGTGTGCAAGCTGTGACCACTGTATCGTGGCTGCGTGTTCAGAAGATATTGACGTATTCATGTGTGCAAGCTGTGACCACCGTATCGTGCCTGCGTGTTCAGAAGATATTGACATATTCACGTGTGCAAGCTGTGACCACCGTATCGTGGCTGCGTGTTCAGAAGACACGGCATGGCCGCTAGAACTGCTGTGAACAATACAGTGAGGCAGGCCTGGCCCTGCTCAGCCACCGCTGGAGTTGGCTAGTCCGTGCTCGATTGTCTTTTCGCTTTCGTAAATGTTTGAAATCTTCCCTGATGAAGAAATGAAAGACAGCCAGCGAAGGCACTAGATTTGGACTGAGGCGTCACACCGTTCAGCTTTGCTGTTTATTATTTGTTGCCAACGTAAACCTGGGCTCAGCAATGGAAGGTGACACCCTCTCAGCCCATTCAAAGAGAATTTCAAGCCAGAGGACGTCTTGGCCCCTAAGTTTCCACAATGCCCTGGGGCCGTCACAGCTAAACACACTTCTGGCCCTTACCAAAAGGCAGGATGAACCCAGCGTGCCCTGACGTCCTTCCCAGTTTTAGGGCAAATCACATATGGACTCCACTGAGAGATGAGCCAGCGCGCCACTGGCCTCTCAACTCCCAGCCGCAGCCGTGACTGACCCGGAGACTAGGACAATAGCTTCCATTCAACAGCGAATTCAGCAACAATAAAAGTAACCCACACAGGAAAAATGAAAACCTAATTTGCTTACCTCGAAAATAACCAAAGCAAAGCAAGCCACCGAAGGGGGGGTCCCCCAGGAACCCTATTTCCCAGCTGGCCCTCCAGGGCAGGGCTCTCCCAGCCCAGCACAGAGCAGAGCTGTCACAGTGACTGGATGGAGAGCCAGCCTCATCCCCAAAGTTGCTCCAGAAAAAGTTGCTCCTAAGTCCCAGGTGGAGGCCCCTCCCTGACCCGGCCCACGGCCCAGCCTCCTCCCAGTTGTCCCCCCCCAGCACGACCCTGGGCCACGCCCCCGCCCCCTGTGCTGCTTCTCTTGGTCTGAAGGAGGGGAGGGACATGTGACATCCCTTTTTAATTAGGCCTTTCTTACAAGGAATCTTTGCAAAGAGCCTGTCCTAGAGTGATTTTGTGTGAAGGACAGATCCAAGGATGAGCTTCCTACCATGAACATTCCCAGAGCTGCGAGTACGTGCCGCCGACCGCAGGATTACACGTAGGAAGCCAGCATATGCCAGGCTATCATTACCATCTCACCCACCTCCCGCAGCTGACGGCGTTCAGGGGAAGAAAGCGGGGGCCGGCCGGAAGCCCCACGGGCCGAGGCCACCCCAGGCCCGCAGCCCAGACCACCAGGCCACGCAGGCTGGCCTTCTGAGGCGGTCCCTGGCGAGCTGCCCTGCGCTGGAGCCAGGCTGCCGGCAGAGTGCTGCTCACTGCCGCATTCTTCACATGTGGTTTGATTGACGCAAATCAAGAGGCAAGCAAATGATTCACAACTGTCCAAGCACAGGGCTCACCCAGAAACGGCAAGAGCCCAGACTTGCTGATTCACCAAGAAATGGCCCTGTGTGCTGGAGGTGCTGCTGGTCCAGACGCTCCCATGTGTGCACACGGGGCTCCACAAACATGATGGCAGGGGCGATGTCCTGGTCCAAGCGGTGACAGCAGACCCAAACCCCACCCACAGCAGCACGGCAGGGCCGCCATGAGGGGGACACATGTGGAAGAGCAGTGGCCACCACCCCTGCCTGCATGGCCTGGGTGTGTGCCAGTGGCACGCCTGGGCTAGGCACTGCCGCCCTGTGACTCCAGCTCCAGCTCAGACCCAGGCTGGGGTCCTCTGCAATGCCTGGTCCCACTCCCCGCCCCTCAGGCTGCCAGGCACACCCTTAACACAAGGAGTCGAGATGGAACTGCCACCCTCAGGGCATGGGGCAGGGAAGACACAGCTCCTCTATAGCCTGCCACATTTGGGAAGGCTTCCCAGAGGAGGAGAGGCCTTAAAAGGATGGGAGGGAAGGCACCAGGCGGTGGTGGACAGGCTCCTCCCAAGCAGATGGCCAGCATGCTCCAAGCCAGTGCAGGCCAGGGACAGAGACTGGACCCGCCCTGGGGCCAGGCAAAGAACCAGTGTTCCTCCACCACTGGTGAGGACTGCCCAGGGACCTGCCTCATGACTGACACCCACCCTCACACCAGGAAGTTCACTCTGGTGGCAGCGCAGCGAACCTGCAGGTGGCAGTCCAAGTGTACCAGTCAGAGGCAGGGAAAGGCCCAAACTGGAGTACAATGGGGATCCTGGCCAAATATTCCTGGGAAGCGCTGGGAGAAGGCGTCAGCCGTGGTCCTGACAGTGGAGAGGCCTGTCTGTCTCCCCGGCTTGGCAGCCCCTCTACCTCTAGCTCCATGTGTCTGGACCCTGGGCCACAGGACGGGGCAGGAGTGGGAGAGGCAGAGTTCTGCATGTATGGCCGGTGCCGCCCTCACAGCAACCGTGACGAACCTCCCAGCTAGGCCGGACACTGGCCTGTGTGGTCATCAGTGCAGTTCCTGAAACGGCTTCACTAGTCAAGGGGACCTAAGTCCCAGACGCCGTCTGCTCTCCAGACACAGCCCGCTGCCCGGACACAGTCCACTGCCCAGACACGGCCCACTTCCCGGACACAGCCCACTGCCTGGACACAGCCCGCTGCACGGACACTGCCCACTTCATGGACACTGCCTGCTGCCCAGACACAGCACGCTGCACAGATGCTGCACACTGCATGGACACAGCCAGCTGCCCGGACACTGCACACTGCATGGACACTGCACGCTGCCCAGACCCAGCACACTGCACGTTCACAGCCAGCTGCCCAGACACTGCACACTGCATGGACACTGCACACTGCATGGACATAGCCAGCTGCCCAGACACTGCACACTGCATGGACACTGCACACTGCATGGACACTGCACACTGCACAGACACTGCACGCTGCATGTTCACAGCCAGCTGCCCGGACACTGCACACTGCATGGACATAGCCCGCTGCCCGGACACTGCACACTGCATGGACACTGCACACTGCCCAGACACTGCCTGCTGCCCAGACACTGCCCGCTGCCTGGATACTGCCTGGACACAGCCCGCTGCTCGGACACTGCACACTGCATGGACACTGCATGCTGCCCAGACACTGCACACTGCATGGACATAGCCCGCTGCCCGGACACTGCACACTGCATGGACACAGCCCGCTGCACGGACACTGCCCACTTCATGGACACTGCCTGCTGCCCAGACACAGCACGCTGCACAGATGCTGCACACTGCATGGACACAGCCAGCTGCCCGGACACTGCACACTGCATGGACACTGCACGCTGCCCGGACCCAGCACACTGCACGTTCACAGCCAGCTGCCCAGACACTGCACACTGCATGGACACTGCACACTGCATGGACATAGCCAGCTGCCCAGACACTGCACACTGCATGGACACTGCACACTGCATGGACATAGCCCGCTGCCCGGACACTGCACACTGCATGGACACTGCACACTGCCCAGACACTGCCTGCTGCCCAGACACTGCCCGCTGCCTGGATACTGCCTGGACACAGCCCGCTGCTCGGACACTGCACACTGCATGGACACTGCATGCTGCCCAGACACTGCACACTGCATGGACATAGCCCGCTGCCCGGACACTGCACACTGCATGGACATAGCCCGCTGCTCGGACACTGCACACTGCATGGACACAGCCCGCTGCTCGGACACTGCACACTGCATGGACACTGCACGCTGCCCAGACACTGCACACTGCATGGACATAGCCCGCTGCCTGGACACTGCACACTGCATGGACACTGCACGCTGCCCAGACACTGCACACTGCATGGACATAGCCCGCAGCCTGGACACTGCACACTGCATGGACACTGCACGCTGCCCGGACACTGCACACTGCATGGAGACTGCACGCTGCCCGGACACTGCACACTGCATGGAGACTGCACGCTGCCCGGACACTGCCTGCTGCCCGGACACTGCCCGCTGCCTGGATACTGCCTGGACACAGCCCGCTGCTCGGACACTGCCTGGACACAGCCTGCTGCCCGGACACAGCCCGCTGCCCGGACACTGCCTGCTGCCCAGATGCAGGCAACTCCCAGACACTGCCCACTGCCAGGACACTGCCCATTGCCCAAAGGCCAGCAGAGCAGCAGAGCCAGGGGAGGCAGGAGGACAGTGGGAGGCTGGGGATCCTGACAACAGGCCTCAGGGTGAAACCACACCGAGTGGTCAGGTCCGTGTCTGACTTCACTCTTCTTGCAACACTATCTGTCACCGGGCCACAAAATCCCCCGACCCTGACCGCCAACACACCCCCCTCTAGCACTTAGGGGACACTGCAGAGTCAGCTGTGGAGCCTCCTCTGCTCTGCACAGCCCTTCCTCCACTGCCACGCCCTCCTGGGCCTGCACCTGCCCCTGCTGGTGGCACCTGGGACTCTGTACCACACTAAGATTTTGCAATTCTCTTTCTTAACCGTTTTTGAAAGCAGGGACTTGATCCTGCTCACTGTGGTGTTCCCAGCACCTGGCACAGTGGGGTCTCCGTGTTCCCAGTACCTGGCACAGTGGGGTCTCCGTGTTCCCAGCACCTGGCACAGTGGGGCCTCAGTGTTCCCAGCACCTGGCACAGTGGGGTCTCAGTGTTCCCAGCACCTGGCACAGTGGGGCCTCCGTGTTCCCAGCACCTGACACAGTGGGGTCTCCGTGTTCCCAGCACCTGGCACAGTGGGGTCTCCATGTTCCCAGCACCTGACAGTGGGGTCTCCGTGTTCCCAGCACCCGGTATACTGGGGTCTCTGTGTTCCCAGCACCTGGCACAGTGGGGTCTCAGTGTTCCCAGCACCTGGTATACTGGGGTCTCAGTGTTCCCAGCACCTGGCACAGTGGGGTCTCTGTGTTCCCAGCACCCGGTATACTGGGGTCTCTGTGTTCCCAGCACCTGGCACAGTGGGGTCTCCGTGTTCCCAGCACCCGGTATACTGGGGTCTCTGTGTTCCCAGCACCTGGCACAGTGGGGTCTCAGTGTTCCCAGCACCTGGTATACTGGGGTCTCTGTGTTCCCAGCACCTGGCACAGTGGGGTCTCAGTGTTCCCAGCACCTGGTATACTGGGGTCTCAGTGTTCCCAGCACCTGGCACAGTGGGGTCTCCGTGTTCCCAGCACCTGGTATACTGGGGTCTCTGTGTTCCCAGTACCTGGCACAGTGGGGCCTCAGCGTTCCCAGCACCTGGCACAGTGGGGCCTCAGCGTTCCCAGCACCTGGCACAGTGGGGCCTCCGCGTTCCCAGCACCTGGCACAGTGGGGTCTCCGTGTTCCCAGCACCTGGCACAGTGGGGTCTCCGTGTTCCCAGCACCTGGCACAGTGGGGTCTCAGTGTTCCCAGCACCTGGCACAGTGGGGTCTCCGCGTTCCCAGCACCTGGTATACTGGGGTCTCTGTGTTCCCAGCACCTGGCACAGTGGGGTCTCAGTGTTCCCAGCACCTGGCACAGTGGGGCCTCCGCGTTCCCAGCACCTGGCACAGTGGGGCCTCCGTGTTCCCAGCACCTGACACAGTGGGGTCTCCGTGTTCCCAGCACCTGGCACAGTGGGGTCTCCGTGTTCCCAGCACCTGGTATACTGGGGTCTCTGTGTTCCCAGTACCTGGCACAGTGGGGTCTCAGTGTTCCCAGCACCTGGCACAGTGGGGCCTCCGTGTTCCCAGTACCTGGCACAATGGGGTCTCTGTGTTCCCAGCACCTGACAGTGGGGTCTCAGTGTTCCCAGCACCTGGCACAGTGGGGCCTCCATGTTCCCAGTACCTGGCACAGTGGGGTCTCCATGTTCCCAGCACCTGGTATACTGGGGTCTCCGTGTTCCCAGCACCTGACACAGTGGGGTCTCTGTGTTCCCAACACCTGGTATACTGGGATCTCCATGTTCCCAGCACCTGGCACAGTGGGGTCTCCGTGTTCCCAGCACCTGGTATAGTGGGGTCTCGATGTTAGCGGAAAGATGAGTGAAAACAGGAGACACACAGGGCTCCACTCACACATCTGGAGGACAAGTACAATGGCAGAGCCATGCCCAGTGAGGTCGGCTTCTGAAGCTCCCCAGAAACAGCAGATGCCCTCTTGTCCCCACTCTGTCTAGTAAGGCCTTTCCAAAGGCACAAGGGTAAGGGTTGGGGAGAGGAAAAGGAGCACCAAGCTCAGTACCGGGAGGAAAGCTGGAGAAAGGAAGGAAGCCCTCATGCACAGACCCAGGAGGACAGGCCCCAGGACACAGCCCTGGGAGGACAGGCAGGTGAGCGGCAAGGAACGTGTGTATGGTCTCTGCGCTGCTATGCGAGTCACACGCCTGCTGCCGTGGCTGACCACCTCAGCTCTGCACTCCAGAGCAGGGTCTCTGGCATTTCCACAAGCTCACCGGCCAGGTGTCCGCTCGCACTGCAGCATCCCTGGGACTGCTGCGGCCAGTTTCCGCTGCCTCAAAGAGCACATGGCCGCCCAGCCTGGTGCAGCCACCAGAGCCCCAGCTTGATCACGTCTGCTTTGGAAAGACACTTCCAGAGCTAATGACAGCACTTAGCAGCTCGCACAGAAAACACCTGCGACCCACAGCAACTCTACCCAGGCCAGGACCAGGCCTGAAGCTGTTCCTACCACTCAGGTTCTCAGATCTGCAGGAAACAAGTAACTAAGGACACTCTCTGCTCGGCAGGCCCCGGCCACACACTCGGCTCCCCGCTGGCAGGGGCCACCTAGAGGGCCGGGGTTCCTGAGGAGTGGAGGGGTGCTCACCATCGGCTCGATAACATTGAGTCTTCCAACTGCCCCACCACAGACATTAGAAAAAAGCAAGACAGAAAAACAGACTGGCTATAGAGCACCAAGCCAAGCGGGTGACAGAGGCCACGGGCGAACTCACTCTGAGGACCAGCCAGTGGGAGTCCGCACAGGAAGAGCACCCGCCAACCAGTCTTTGCTACACCACCACTGAAAGCATTTGTGCTGCTTAAAAACTGACAGTCTAATTTGTAAAGAAAAGGAAAACTTTTTAAGTATAAAAACATATTTTGGGCCAGGACAGTTCCTCATGCCTATAATCTCAGCATTCTAGGAAGCCGAGGAGGGCGGATTGCCTGAGCCTAGGAGTTCGAGACCAGCTTGGCCCACATGGAAAGACCCCATCCCAACTAGAAGACAAAAATCGGCCAGGCATGGTGACGCACAGCTGCAGTCCCAGCTATTCAGGAGGCTGCAGCAAGAGCACTGCTTGAGCCCCGGAGACAGAGGCTGCAGTGAGCCAAGATCATGCCATTTGCACTCCAGCCTAGGTGACAGAGGGAGACTGTCTCAATACAAACAAAAAGACATGTTTTGTACCACGTATCAGTCAAAATAAGGGCCTAAGGCTATGGTTTGCTTTAATGCTGCTTCTAAGAAGGCTCTGAACCTCCCCTCCAGAAACAGCTTTCCTGCCCATCAGCGTGGCTCTTTTCCTCACGCAGGGCCGGGAAGACCACATGGCAGACGCCAGGCGTGGTGGCGTGCACCTGCAGTCCCAGCTACTCAGGAGGCACCTGGAGCCCAGGAGCTCGAGACCAGCATGGGCAATGATGTCACACCCCATCTCTTACAAACAAAAAGACTATGCTACCGTGAGGACTAAAAACCAGAAGAAAAGTGGAGCCAGAGTAGGGGCCACACCCTGCCCCGGGCGGGGAAAGGGCTGGAGGGAACCGGGCAGCGGGACCCACATGCCAGAGCGCTGCCCTCCTGATTCCAGGGCACCCGCAAACTTAAATTTAACAACGGCTTTGCTGGCAAATACAAAGCCCCGATTTGCTGTTCCTCCCAGGAGACGCTGGGCTGCTAGGAGGCGAAGCCTGAGGTCTGTGCTGACCAGGAGATGCTCACGTTTCTGTGCCAAAAACAGTGATGGAACAGATGACTCATGAGAGGGATCAATGAACAGACTGGCATCAGGCTCGAAACTTACGCTCGATCCCTCAGCCTTATGTAAACTCCTGAGGCTGCTCCACTACGTCTATCTTACAGATGAGAAAATCAAGGTTCAAAGAAATTAAGTCATGCTCCCCGTATCTAGGCAGAAAAGCTGGGGTTCAGATCCGTCTCGCTGCCTCTAAAGTCAGTTCTCTCTTCACTGTCCCAGCAGAAAACCTCTCCCTAGAGTGGGCGTGGATGCTGTGGGGCGGGAACAGAGGGGAGGGGGTGGAAGCAGCCCAGGGCCAGGTGAGCTGGGACCGCATCAGCCACAGCAGACAGCCTGAACTCTCCCACAGCCCCCACCGTGCCTCCCACAAATGAAGGCCTCTGAAAGCAGGTGAGCTGGGGATGAGAACCAGCCACTCCAGGCCAGGCACACAGGGGGCACGTGACGGGCAAGACTTGAGGGGTGTCCCCTGCCCTCACCACGAGTCTAGGTGGAAACCACGCCATGGCTCGTCACTCTTTGGAGGGACTCAGAATGAACGGCTGACACTCACTGGGCTTCGCCACGCCATCCCTAGTACCCTGCACCAATGTTTCCAATGGGGCCACAGACTGGGCGGCATGTCTTACGTTTCCCGTTCCCTC